TTTTCACATGTATATGAGGCTATTGAAATACCAAGGCTTGGGTCAGGCACACCTTAGTCTTTTAAATTTACTTTTGAAAACTTTAAAAAGGTCTTGTGCAGCAGACTTGCCCAATGCAATATGTCCTTTGATTCCTTGATGTTGTTGCTTCCAGGAATGCTAATACGGATTCAAACAAAATGAAGTCTAACAACTTCCATTTTTTTCTCCATTTATCATTATGTTATTTATTGGTCCAGTGGAGAGGATTTTTCATTTATTTCTTACATTGAGGTACAACTCATATTGAAAGCTACGGTCTTTTATCTTTAACAGTGTTTTAAGTCCTCTTCACTTTAGCTAGTAAGGTTGTGCCATCTGCATATCACAGGTTGTTAATCAGTCTTCCTCCAATCCTGATGCCATATTTTCTTCATATAATCCATCTTCTAGAATTATTTGCAATATAATTCTAGATTTGCAATATAATTCTAGACTGAATAAGTATGGTAAGAAAATACAACCCTGGTGCACACCTTTCCTGATTTTAAACCATTCAGTGTTCCCTTGTTCTGTTTGAACAACTGCCTCTTGGTCTATGTACAGGTTCCTCATGAGCAGTTAAGAGTTTTGAAATACTCATTCTCCACAGTGATGTCCATAGCTTGTAATGATTCACACAATTGAAACTCTTTGCGTAGTCAATAAAGCACCGGTAAACATCTTTCTGGTATACTCTGCTTTCAGCCAAGATCCATTTGACGTGAGCAGTGACATCCCTCATTCCACATCCTCATCTGAATCTGGATAGAACCTCTGGCAGTTCCCTGTCAATGTAGTTTTTAAATTATCTTTAGCAAAATTTTACTTGCATGTAAGATTTATGATATTGCCCTATTATTTCTGCTTTCTGTTGGATCACCTTTATTTGGAATGGGTACAAATATGTATCTTTTCCAGTCAGGTGGCCAGCTATTTGTCTTTCAAATTTCCTGTCATAGGTGAGTGAGATCCTCTATTGCTGTATCAATTTGTTGAAAGATTTCAGTTTGTGTTCCATCAATTCCCAGTGAGCCTTGTTCTTTGCCAATGCCTTCAATGCACCTTCAACTTCTTTCTTCAGTATCCTTAATTATATGGCCCAAATGGTATTTATTTTCTTAAGAAAATCAGGAAATTCAGAAGCAATATAAGAAAAGGTAAACATATTTGACTGAATAAAACTTAAACATGTAGCATGGCAAAAGATATGATTACAAAAACAATAAGTTAAAAAACAAACACATGAGAAAATATTTGCCACTCATATGATGACAGACAAGATGGTGATTAATACGACAAACATATGAAGTTTTATGAATTGCTAATAAAAGGTGAATAACTCAATATAAATATGAATTGAGTATTGTTAAGTGCCTTCAAGTTGGTTCCAACTCATTGTGACCCTGTATAGGGTTTTCAAGGTGCCACTGGTGCCTTTGAACCATTCACCTTGGGGTTAGCAGCCCAGTGGTTATCCTATAGCACCACATAGGAAATTCATAGAAGAGGGACTACTAATAAACAAACAAAAAATATGAAGAAACACTCGGTATTAGAGAAATGCAAATTAATTAAAGTGAGGATGTACCATTTTTAATCCATGTTGTTGTTGTTAGGTGCTATTGAGTCAGTTCCAATTTATAGTGACCCAGTATAGGGTTTTTGAGGAGCAGGTGGTGGGTCTGAACTGTAATCTTGTGGGTAATAGTTCAGAGCTCATCTGACAGTGCCATACCAGGGATCCTTAAATACAAAAAAAACATATATATATATATATATAGTACTGGCAAAACTTTAAAAAATGTGTTAACATCTTAATGCAGATGAAAATTGCAGAGAGGGGTGGAGTATCAGGGACTGAGTTTCAAACATTGTTGGTGAAAGTGTGAAGGTCAGCAATCTTTTTCAGAAAACACTGTTTATAAAGATTGCCATTTAACTGAACAATTGCACCTTTCGGAATGTATCCTATAGCAAAAAGCAAAAAAGAATCCATTTGTAAAGACATAGGTGCCAGGATGCTTACTGCAACATTGTTTGTCCTAATGGAAAAAGAAAACTACTGTAATCTGCCTGTCCTTTAACACCATTAATGGTTAATTACCATATACACTATTGAATAAACTAAATATAGAAGCAGTGGATCCCAAAGTCAGTTTAAACTGTAAGGCCAGAGGTTCAAATCCACCAGCCGTTCTTCGGAGACCCTATACAGGGCCGCTATACGTTGGAACAGATCTGATCCCACTTAACAACAACATTAAATAAATTAAAGGAGTCCTGGTGTGGTGCTGTACCATAAGCACTGGACGGCAGCAGTTCAAACTCACCAGTCACTCCTTGGAAACCTTAAACTGGGTCACTATGAGTTGAACACTCAATGGCACACAACAGCATTGAATAAATTAGGGTACATGCTTTTTGTGGGCTATTCTGAAGAAATTTAAAACAACAAATTAGTCTCTGCAGAATATCTATGATATTTTAATGATTAAAGCAACCGGCAAGGGAATATCTATTATATGATCACATTGTTTAAAATTTTAAACCCCGAGAACTTACATATTAATATATAAAGTAAGTTGTAGAGGCTTATATACTAGCCTGTTGATATTACTTTTCGCAAGGTGAGGGAATGATAGAATTCTTTATCTTTTCCTTATGTATCTATATTGTTTGACTCAGCACTATAAGCATGTACTTTATTACTTTTGTAACTTAAAGTTTAATAAAAAATTTAAAACTTAAAGAAATACTTGTAAAAACAATACTTGTGTTATGTTTATATAATGGCTTCTTATTCAACAATTTAAAAAGATACATGTTCCAAATGCATGAACCTTGAAAGCATTATGCTAAATCAAAGAAGTCAGTCCTAAAATATCACATATTAATGTGGTTCCATTTATATAAAATGTCCAGGATAGGCTAATCTATGGGGATAGAAAGATTAGTGGTTTGGGAGTAAAGTAGGATGGGGAATGAGGAGTGACAGCTAACTGGTAAATTTTGTTTTGTGGGTGATGTAAACGTTCTTTAACTAGTGTGATGATGATTCCACAACTGTGTGAATCTGTACGTCGTTAAGTGCCGTCAAGTCAGTTTTGAGAAGCAGCTTCTGGGTTTACACAGGCAACCTTGGGTTATCAGTCCAGTGCTTAGCCTACAGCGCCACACCAGGACTCAATGCAAGGGTACTAAATAATCATTGACTGTGGCGCTGTAGAATAGAAGAATTGATGCATTTGAGTTAGGATGTTGAAGAAGAATGTTGAAAGTACCATGCACCGCCAAAAGAACAAACAATTCTATGTAGGAAAAGTACAGCCATAATGTTCCTTAGAAGCCAGGATAGCCAGACTTCCGTCTCTCATACAGAGCACTTATTATCAGGAGGGACCAGTCGCTGGAGAAGGACATCATGTTTGGTAAAGTAGAGGATTAGTGAAAAAGAGACCCTTAATGAGATGGATTGACTCAGTAGCAGCAACAATGGGCTCAAGCGTAGCAATGATTGTGAGGTGGGCGCAGGACAGGGTGTAAGTTCCCTATGAGTCGGTATCGACTCCACAGCACCTAAAAACAACAAAGCTACAGTCTCGGAAACCCTGTGCAGGGTCGCTATGAGTCGGAACCGTCTCCACGGCACTTAACAACAACAACAACTAACCTCAAGGTTCATTCCCATAGTGGCTTCTCCGATGCCCTATGGGTCACTATGAGTCGGAACCAACTCCAAGGCACTTGACAACAAAGACCACTGATCTGTATACTTAAAATGAACGGACTGTATGGTATGTGAATTCTATCTCAATAAAGGTGTTTTAAAGAAAATACTATCCATTATTAACATTATGTTTTTCGTCCTAAAAAGACCAAAGTTTGATTATTATCAGAATATGCCACGAACCATACAGACAATTTGAAAAGCAGAAATTCAAAAGTGTATCATCATATAAAAGAACTAACTACCTTGAAGAAGACATCACCTTTTTTTCATGTGTCAATTCTCCTGTGTTTACAATTAGTTACATTAATTTATCAAATGCAATAACAAATGCATAATGAGTCACTGAACAAAATTTCAGGACACTAATTTTTCTGTTCTCTGAAAGGGGACATTTGAAATTGATGTAGTTTCGGACTCGTTTGCCTTTAAGATTCTTGTGACCAATTTGCATTAAATAACTATGTCTCAAATATTTTGTATATTGTGTATTCGAAAGAAATACAAATATCATGAAAACTACAACAAAGAAAGATCTGCAAACATTTTCCTGTTTCTCAAAGACGTGGTTAACATTATCAAAGCAAATTATTAATGAAGACTCTTAGACATTTTTATTAAAATATTTTGAGATTTTCTATACAGAGAACGTAGGAACATCCGTTTAAACTGTATTGGAATTAGAAAAGTTGAGTTGCTTCTTATAGCAAAGAAAAATAACATTATAGTCTCTAAGTGTTTATTTTTAAGTGAATGAGATAATATTTATTTGTATCACCAGCATGCATCTTGATAGCGATAGAACATCTGCCTGTACTTCCTCCTAGAGAATTTTAGAAGAAGCTGTTTCCATCAGCGCCGCTGGTGTAGTGGTATCATGCAAGATTCCCATTCTTGCGACCCGGGTTCGATTCCCGGGCGGCGCAGTAGTTTTGTTCTTTAAAATTAGATAACATGAAGTTATTTAATAATATTCCGCTTCTCTGAAAATATGTAAAACAACTACTTCCTCTAAAGGTGTATGTTTTATTTTCACTGTTAAAAATTTATAACTAAATTGGAAGACTACAAGATTTAACACGCGTCCTGCAAGTTAACCCATGCGCCTGCGCAATCTAACACATCCCTAGCGTCGAGTGGAAGAGCGGCTGCGCAACAAGTGAACCTATGGATTGAGGTGTAGTCTGGCGGCCTGGAGGGTGAGCGGGCTAGGTTATTCTGCGCTTGCGCGGCTCGGGTCGCTTGGCTGGGTGCTCCTAGTCTCCCGGCTTTCCGCCATCTTGTATTGGTGCTTCATTGTTCGCACTGGGCTGGGCGGTTTAGTGTAATTGCCGCCAAAGAAGGAGGCGGAGTAACCTCTGGTCAGCCGAGAAACCCCGCTATTCTGCAGCCATAGCCACTCATAAGGTTTGGGAGGTAGCAAAGGTTAGGGACCTGGACCCGGAGGCCCCGCCGCGACAACAACAGCCATGGAGGACGAGATGCCCAAGACTCTGTGAGTCTGGGGCAGCGATGAGGGGAGAGGGATGGGGGTCGTCCGGGAGGGAGGCCTCGGCCCGGCGCCGCTCCCCAGCCTATTGTTCTTCGTAGATTGCGCGATATTCTGGTTCTTCTCTCCTTAACACACATCTGGATACTTCGGGATCCAGACCTGGGCTGTGAGGGGACGAGGTGAAGGGAGAGACGGTTCTCCCTCTGAATTAGTCCCTTCGCCTCTGCGACACCGTAGCGTGTGGCCTTTAGCTTCGCCTCGGGCCCTCTACATGCCTGGCCGCAGAACTTTTTCGTTCAAACCGCTTTTTAGAACTCGATGCACCTTCCTTTTGTCCCCATATATTCCCCACCATAACCATCTTTATCTTTAACGCCTTCTATTTTGATTGCTTCCCGAAACTCTCTTTTTAGTTAGGGTTTTTTTTCTCCCCTCTTTCCTTGAAGCAACTGCACTTATTTTCAGTGAGGTTAACTTTATTCTCGTAGTTGCCAACTGGGAAAAAACCCCATATTTTTCTTTCCTTTTTCTTTCTGTAGCATCCAACTCTCCCCCACCAACAGTCCTAGCTGGACCACGTCAAGATTTTGAAAGTGCTTTTTAAAAGCAGAATTTTCAGCCGAAGGTATACATCAGCTGAGGAGCAGTGGACTTTATACATTTCTGTAATCCCAGGCTACTTGTGATTGACCTGTTACTGAACGAGTGGGCAGTTTTTAGGAAGCAACAGTTGATAAATACCTTAACATTTTAAGTCAAGTTTAGTTAAATGATCTCATCTTGGGCTGTTTTCTTTGTAGTCTTAACTTCCCACTGCTTTCTCCTTTGTTTTTCAATTTCTAAGTATTATCGAATAAAGTGATCCTACCTCTTTGCTTTTCTCAAAGGAACTAAAAACAGTGAGTTCCTGATGAGGCTCATTGTTTCATCCCTGAAATACTGGCAGGTTGAGTAATGTCTGCATTAAAAAAGCAATTTTCCGTTTTCTTCTTGTAACTTTCTACATATAGCTGTTATAAAAGTGCAATGTAATCCATTATTTTTTAATCTCAAAAGGTTTCAGCCTTAAATTAATATTTGTAACCTATATGAAAAATGCAGTCAAACTTTCTGTAGTAAATTAGTAAATGTTCTGCTATTTATTTTATAATCTGCTAGTTGCCTTAGAATATTCCTTTAATGGTGATGGTGGTTGTGTGTCAGGCCCTGCAGAGGGTTTCCGAAGCTGTAGATCTTTACTGGAGCAGAAACCTCATCTTTCTCCCTTCGAGCTGCTGGTAGTTTTGAACTGCTGACCTTGAGGTTAGCAGCCCCACTTGTAACCACTGCAGCAGTTAGTGACTAAAGAGCTCTGGTAGCTCAGTGGTTACAAATCGGGCTGCTAACCTCAAGGTCAGCAGTTCGAAACTACCAGCGGCTCCGAGGGAGAAAGATGAGGTTTCTGCTCCCATATAGATTTACAGCCTCGGAAACCCTCTGCAGGGTCTCTGTGAGTCGGAACCAACTCCAAGGCACACTACCACCACCACCATTTAGTGAGTGACCTTCCTTTCTTGAAAGATGTTCTCTGTAGATAATTTAAAAAACTAAACCCCATTGCTCAGGTGAACTCATAGTGACCCTTTAGGACAGAGTAGAACTACCCTATAAGGTTTCCAAGGCTGTAGTTGGTATGGTATCAGATTGCCATAATTTTCTCCCCTAAAGCGTTTGGTCTGTTCGAACGGCCAACCTTTTGTTTAACAGCTGCCACCAGTGGTTCATATTCCCTAAAAAAAGGGAGTTTATTGCTTTTTTCTCCTTGCCTCTTGGCTGGAAGTATGATAGTGGGCTGAGCGCTGCTCATCTTTGTGTAACATCTTTTAATGTAGGATTCTTATTCATATATTCTGAATGAAGTCTTGGGGTACCGCTGTAGGATAATCACTGGACTGCTAACCTCAAGGTCAGTAGTTCAGAATCACTATGTCGGAACCAACTCTACAACACATATCAGTAGCATGTTGTGCATATTCTAGACGGAAGCAGCAGTTAAGAAATCAAACGACATATTGCATAATTTAGGGTTCTTATAGTCTGATATTATTCATATCACATGCATTTAGACTTTTGCTGAAGATAATTTTTAAATTATTGCAACGATTCAGGGAAGAACGTGGAATGAGGGAGATCATTGCTGATATCAGATGGATCTTGGCGGAAAGTAGAGCGTACCAGAAAGATACTTATTTGTGCTTTATTGACTATGCAAAGCCTTTCGACTGTATGGATAGATCATAACAAACTATGGATAACATTGCGAAGATTGGATACCCTAGAACACTTACTTATACTCATGGTGAACCTGGACCTGAACCAAAAGGCAGTTGTATTATCCCTTACTAGAATACCCCATTGAGATTTTCTTTTCTTGAGAGTATTTCGTGCCCTAAAATTTCCTGTTATACCTACTCCGGCTTCTGTCTCCTTTAACCAAAACTCCCATTCCTGCATTTGGGCCAATCTTGATTAAATATGTTGTCGTTAAGTGCTGTCAAGTCAAGTGCCATAGTGACTCTGTATAGGGTTTCCGAGGAGCAGCTGATGAGCTTGAACCTCCGACCTTATGGTTCAAACCAACTTTGCAGTCCAGTGCATTAACCCACAGCGCCACACCCAGGACACCTACAACTACTATTGTTATTAAGTGTTGTTGAGTTGGTTCCAACTCATAGTGACCCTGTATAGGGTTTCTGAGGAGCAACTAGTGAGTTTGAACCACCAATCTGGTTAGCAGCCCAGTGCTTATCTTACAGCGCCACTCATGTATAAATTATAATTTTCCATAATGAAAAGAATAAAATGTATATGTTGTTAAATGCTGTTGAGTTGATTCTGACTCATAGCAACCTTGTGTAGATTTCTGAGGAGTGACTGGTGAGTTTAAACCACTGACCATGTGGTTCAAACCAACTTTGTAGTCTAGTGATTATCGTACAGTGTCTCATCAAGACTCCTAAAATGTGTATAGAGAGTCTGAATAGGCCTTTGGTCACTTTAAGATAATTAGTTAATTAAAAGCTATACACAAGAAAAACATTGCTAGTGTTAATTCATGGTTGTTCTCCCAAATCCAGGCATCTTTAATATCCTTTGTGTGATTTACTCTCAAATGCTTATGTGTACTCACTCTCTTTTGAGGGAGCTATACAAAGAATGTGGATCTACATAAAATATGTGTGTTGTTGTTAAGTGCTGTCGAATAGGTTCCTTACCCACAGCGACACTCTATAAGGTTTCAGAGGAGCAGCTGGAGATCTTGAACCACAAACCTTGCAGTTCAAATGGCTTTACAGTCTGGCGCATTAACCCACAGTGCCACACCAGAATTTGTTGTTGTTGAATATCGTGGAATCGAGTCAAGTCAGTTCCGACTCATAGTGAGACTGCACCAGGTTTCTAAGCCTATAAATCTTTATGGGAGCAGAACACCTCATCTTTCTCCTGCGGAGCCGCTGGTAGTTTTGAACTGCTGACCTAGGGGTTTGCAGCCCCATTCGTAACCACTACGCTACCAGAGCTCCTTCCACACCCGGGTAGGACATCTTTACATAGCCTACAACTAAACATCATTAAAAGCCTATAACTAAATAAGTGTTGAATGGGAGTCCTGGTGTGCCGTGTAGGATAAGTACTGGAGTGCAACTTCAGTTTGAACCATCAGGTCAGAGGTTCAAACTCAACAGCTCCTCCTCAGAAACCTATACAGGATTGCTGTGAGTCAGAACTGACTTGATGGCATTTAACTACTTACACATTTTATTTTTATTATGGAAAATTCTAATTTATATTTAAGTGGTGTGGTAAGATAAGCACTGGACTGCTAACCATTAGGTTGGTGCTTCAAACCCATCAGCTGCTCCTTGGAAACCCTATATAGGGCCACTATGAGTCAGAACCTAAATAACAACAACATACTAATGTAAGCTTTGCCTTTTTATATCCTCATGCTTATTTATCTTTCTTTCTTACTACCTATCCCATTCCCCTTCACACACTTTTGGCCAATTATGTTGTTGTTAAGTGCATTTGAGTCATTTCCAACCCATAGCAACCTTGTATAGGGTTTCTGAGGAATGGCTGGTGAGCTTGAACCACCAACCTTGTGATTCAAACCGACCTTGCGGTCTAGTGCATTAACTAAGAGCACCACACTAAGGAGAACAATAATGTAGGGTAAGGAAAATGGGGACATGTTGATTAAAAAAAAAACAGTAAAAGAAGACTTATACTCTGATAAGTGACATTTGAGTAGGAAACTGAGGGAGGTGAGAGAGGGTCATATGAATTTCCGAAGGTGAAGCATTCTATAACAGCAAGTACAAAGGCCCTCAGGCAGGGATATGCTTGCTGAGTAGTCTCTTAGGAGGGTTTTGTCTTTTATCTGAGTGAAATGTGGAAGCTATAGAGTTTTAAGTTGTAGTTACATGCTGTCAAGTTAGTTCTGACTGACTGATAGTGACCCTGTATAGGGTTTCTGAGGAGCAGCTGGTGGGTTTGAACTGCTGACCTTGTGGTTCATAATCCATCAGCATGTGCTCATCCTACAGCACCATACCAAAAGTCCAGAATTTTAAGTAGAGGGAGTACTATTCTTTTTAAGCTTTAAAAGGGCAAGAAAAAGGTACTAGTCAAGAGGTTTTGATTATAATCTAAGTGAGAGATAAATGGCTTATAATAATAATATGGTGTTGGTGGAAGTGAGAAGTGATTGGATTTTGGATATGCTTTGAAAATAGAGCAATAGTAATTACGAATGGATATAGGATGTGAGAATGACATCACCAATAAGTAGGTTTCTTTGTAAAAGTGTAACATCAAACTGAAGAAAATTAAAATTAAGTCCTTAAGAGCCAAAGTATGGCCTAGAGTATATCCCACCTGAATTTAAAGACTACCTCAAAAGTAGATTTGATGCATTGAACACTAATAATCAAATAGCACAGGAGTTGTGAGAGGCCATC